GTAGGAAATGAAATCGCCTTTTTTTTTTTTTTAAATTTAATATCTGTTGGCCTTTCCTTCTCTTATTCTTTTCTTTTTCTTTCTTTTTTTTTTTTTTTTAAATTTAATATCTGTTGGCCTTTCCTTCTCTTATTCTTTTCTTTTTCTTTCTTTTTTTTTTTTTTTTCAAATTTAACTTCCCTGTTTTTAGGAAAATAGCCCAAGCAGTGGGATCGCATGGGAAATCAGGCTGTATTTATTTTTAATGCAAATGCGCATAAATGATTCTCCGGCTTTCTAAGAACCGGCTGCTCTGCTGCACTTACTGCCTTCAGCCTTTTCATTTTTACTTATTCGATCTAAAATAAAATTAAGATTAAATATTTCACTTCCCCAGCAATCAATAACAAATAAACGAAAAAACCAACTTTTAATTAAAAATAAAATAATAACAACTCGGCCCGCTGTGGGCAGAGGGAGGTTGAAGGGCTTTGTGCGTTTGGCAAAACCCTCACGTTTCCCCTGCGCCGGGATAGAAGGTTTATTTTTCCGTCTTTAATTTTTTTTTTTTTAATTAGGGATTTCATACTGATGGGGAAGCCCCCGCCGTGCGGGGTTCGGAAATGAAAATAGCGATGTGTGCGTGGGAAGGGGAAGGGAGGAAAAGAGTAAGGAAAGGCGAGCAGGGAGAGGAGATATTTTCCCTTCGGCGTCGGCAGAGCTGCACTCCCCGCAGGCAGCCGGTGCAGCCGAAAGGCAACAGGACACATTTGCCTTATTTTGCCGAATTAAGCTATTTTCGCCAGGCTCAGAGCAACGAGGTGCCCGCAAGTGCCGCTCGTTTTGCTCTTCAGCATTAGCATACGAGTGCCCAAACCAGATGTACAGTCTGGTCTGGCCATTTTTGTGTGCACCAACCTCCCCAGTGGGTCAATTAGGGAGATTATTGTTCTTCCTGCGGGGAAGATCAAGGAGCGCCACAAACCCGGGCCCGAATGGAGCAGGATTGACAGATCGATTTCCCGGCGTTTCGGGCCGGGGGGAGAGGGCGAGAAAATAACGAAAGCCCTGTAGTTGGCAAGCGGAGAGTGGAAATCCTGCCGTTCCCTGGACAGGCTCGCTGCCGCCCCCCGCCATACTTGACCGTTCCCCCCGTGCCCCGGAGGAGCCCCCGGGGAGGGGGCGGCGGGGCCCGGTAACCGCGGCGGGGCGGGGCGGGGCGAGGGCCGAGCCGGTGTCCCGCCGGCCCTCACCGCGCTTCGGCTCGCTCGCAGGGACAAAGGAGGAAGGCGATCGGGAGATCAGCAGCAGCCGGGACAGCCCGCCGGTGCGCGCCAAGAAGCCTCGGAAGGCACGGACCGCCTTCTCCGACCACCAGCTCAACCAGTTGGAGCGCAGCTTCGAGCGTCAGAAGTACCTGAGCGTGCAGGACCGCATGGACTTGGCCGCCGCGCTCAACCTCACCGACACGCAGGTCAAAACCTGGTACCAGAACCGGAGGTAAGACAGGCCCAGGCGGGGCGACGGCCCAGGGTCTCCCTGGAGAGCCGGGGGGCGGGCAGGCGCTGCTGGGTTCCTGCCCGCGGTAGCCCAGGGTGGTGCGGGGTGCTCCCGACGGCTGCCCCGCGCCCTTCCTGGCGGCAGGCTGGGGGGTCCAGCCCCTGTCACCGCTGCCGTAATTTTCTGTCTCATTACATACGGTCGCAGCCACCCTAATTCTGTCGCAAACCATTAGTGTCAGCACGCTGCGATCTGACTGCGTACCACGGTTATTAATTTGGCCGTAGTCACCACATGCATGTGTCGTGGGGTGCGGGGCTGGGACGGGGAACCGGGCACAGCCGGGAGAATCGCACCGTGTGCGGGCCCACGGGGCCAGTGCGCCCTGTCGGTGCCCCGGTGGTGCGGGGCCGCGCAGGGGAGGGGGCTCGCCGCCTGCGGACTCCCGCGAAACCGGGTTAGGTGCCCCATCGTGGCGCCCGCCCTGCAGCCGCCTCTTGCTCCTCCTGGCAGGACGAAGTGGAAGCGGCAGACGGCGGTGGGCCTGGAGCTGCTGGCCGAGGCCGGGAACTACTCAGCACTGCAGCGGATGTTCCCCTCGCCTTATTTCTATCACCCCAGCCTGCTGGGCAGCATGGACAGTACGACGGCGGCCGCGGCGGCCGCAGCCATGTACAGCAGCATGTACCGGACTCCCCCCGCGCCGCACCCCCAGCTCCAGCGGCCACTGGTGCCGCGGGTGCTGATCCACGGGCTGGGGCCCGGCGGGCAGCCGGCCCTCAACCCCCTGGCCAACCCCATGCCCGGCACCCCGCACCCTCGGTGAAACGGCACCGCGGTCCCCGCAACGAGCCCTTCCCCTCCCCGTCCCCAAACAAGCCCCAGCACCGCAGAGGAGGAAGCGAGGGGAAGCCGAGGGGCAGGAGCTTCTGCAGGCAGCCACCGGCCGCCGAGGGAGGCGATCAGTCAGAGCAGGGACTCTTGAACCGTGAACCCAGAGCCAAGCCCGTAAGTGAAACGACCACACGCGGGGGAAGGCGGGCAGAGCCGCGGGGCGACCCGCCGACCTCGGCTCCTGCGAGGCAGGACTTGGAGCTCGGAGAGAGAGAGGGACGGAGGGGGTGGAGGAGGAGAGGGAGAGGGAGCCCGAACCCGCCGGAGAGACAAATGGCTGCGGAGGACGGAGGGAATGAGAGCGCCTCGACCCCCGCCCGGCGGAGAAGACCGGGGAAACGGAGAACTTTGCACTGATTTTTCTCATTACCTTTTTTTTTTTTCTTATTGCAAAGTGGCATGCTCCCTAATGCGAACAGAATTGTACAGACCGAGTGCTGAGTGCTATATCATATTTATTATATGTCGTCCAAAAAAAAGGAGAAAAAATTTCACTTCTATACATTAGTTTAAAATGAACGAACATGGTTCTTCCCTATCCCTTTTCATGTCTTTTTGGATTCAGTAAAATAAATGCTTAGATGATAAAATATAGATTTTTTTTTTTTTGTGACTGAAAAATTACAGGGGAAAGCAAAACAAAAAAGAAATAAACTTTATCTTTTTTTAACAAACGTGAAAATTCAAGGTAGCTAATTTCTCCGTGACAAGAACTCAAGAAATTCAGAGTAGAAAAGGCAGATGCCACTTTTTTATTTTCAATATTATATTGAACACATTTTGAGTTTTAGGCTTGTTGTTTCTTAACTGGCGCTGTTTTTCCCTATCTGTATTTTAAAGGAAAATCAAATCCCCCCCTCAGGTGTCGTGCTCCTCGCTGTTATTTTAAGCACCTGGGCAGGGCGGCGGCGGGTAGAGGCTCTGGCCCTTGGGGGCGGGCGCAACGGGACCGTGCAGGACCTGGGGATGTGGCCCCGGCCCGGCAGCTGTCTCCGCAGGGAGATGGGACAGGCAGTGAGCGCCGGCGGTCGGGGTGAGTAACGAGGGGAAACAGGCAGGGAGGGCAGAGGGGTCCCGGTGGACACGGAGCTCCCGAGCCCCGCTGGCCTTTGAACTTTATTGCTGTGCGTGACCGTCTCACCCGCCTTTTCCCCTGGCAGGCATCTTTCCTGCCGAGCGCTTCCCTTCCCCATGCCGGCCGCTGGGTCCCGCGGGGGCAGAGGGGTAGCAGGTTGGGACTGGGGGCTGTGACCCTCCACTGGGCTCCGGGGACGGCTGTGTCCCCAGCCTTTGGAGGTGAACACCCCCCTGTGAAATTAGGAAGTTATACAGCAATTACCCATAAAACATTCATAAAGTCCCGTATTATCCTCTCCTCTGAGGGTTTGGCGCTTTTTTTTCTCCTCTCTATTTTTGCTCGTGAGTCCCCTTTCTTTCGAGACAGAAGGGGAAAAAAAAAAAAAGAAACAAACGAAAAAAGGAAAAGAGAAGCCTCCGGGCACGTTTATTTGGGCTTTGCTAATTAGCGAGCGGCTTGCTGATTTCTCTGCTAATAAATTCGCGCTAAAACCATATTGACCTTTGCCTTGATCTAACAAAAGGGGAGCGGGTCGGGAACGCCCACTTCGGTTTTCGCCCGTGTTGTGGCGGCCGCTGACTATTCCCCCGCGCCTCCTCCGTGGCCCCCAAATACCCCCCGCAGGAATGACCCGGGAGGGGGTCCCTAAGTGGCCAGAGAAATCTGTCTGCCCGCATCGCCACCGAGGTTTTCCCGGGAAACGCACCCTATGCGGGCTGGGGAAGGAGGTAGGAAATTTTGGGCTCATTAGGGCCTTTTCCTGAGTCTAAACAACGAATCTCTCACGAAAGGAGGCAATGCAGCTGGAAAAGCTAGTCCCAGGTCGTTGTTCGTGATGGCTCGGTTTTGACTGCATAAACTCTCTGGAAAGTAGTGACAACAAGGAAGGAAAGTTCACGCAAAATAGATGTGTCCCCCTCACGAGCAGGGCCGGCCGCGGGGTGCCCACCAGGGCAGGGGCCTCTCAGTGCTTTGGGAAAGGCAGAGGGAAGGAGCTGGAGAGGAGAGGGGAAGCGTGGCAGGGCTGTCGGTGCCGTGTCGGATGGTGTCTAAAGCAGGGGCTACCAGAGGAGGTGGGCGAGGAACCACCACCTCCCCTGAAACGTATTTCCAGACTCAACTGGAAAGTGCGTGTAAGCCAGAGGAGGTTTGGAACAGGAATCGCTCTCTTTCACTCTTCCTTTCCCCATTTGGGAAGTGGGCCTTTGTCCCGCTCCCGATTCGCACCGGAATGGAGCCGACCCGAGGTCAGGCTGCCCCGAGACAGGGAGGGAACGGGTTCCGTTGCTTGTTTAAAATCCCCGGCACACGGGCCCGCATTTCAGCGCGCTGCGGCAGGACAAAGAGCCAGGCGGGCGGCGGGCCGGAACGCTCGGGGCCGCCTCCAGCGCGGTGAACGGCGCGGGGCCAGGCATCGGGCGCGGCTTGGCGCCGTTGGCTGCCATGCCTTCCCAGACGCGCCGGCCGGGTTTCGTCCCCCTTTCCTTCCTCGGACAGCTGCTTTCGCCGCGGCACCAGAGTTGGTACCGAGCTGCTGAATTTCTGCAGTCTCGGTCCCTCTCAACCCTTCGCCCCTTCTGGGCGAAGGCCTGCTCTCAGCTCTGGAAGTGGTTGTGACCAAACAACCAAACCCATCTGTTGCCAGACGAACGGGATGGGGTCTCTCAGCCTTAAACAGTGGGAAATACCGGCACCCGCCGGAAAAGAGCTGGCTGTTGGTGCGCTTGGCGTGGAAACAGTCCGTGAGACTGTAGCAGAGCTGTCAGTACGCGAGGGACCGCGGCAGCCCGCGGGGTGGCCCGCAGTGTTTGCTTTCCCCGCACCGGACAGCGGCCCGCAAGGAGCGGAGCAGTTCCGGCCCCTCCAGCCGCGGGGACTCCTGCACCTCGCCGGACGGCTGCGGCCCCTCCCGCTCTCAGCACCACGGACAGCTCCGGACGGCGCGGGCGGGCTCGGCCCGCACTCGGCGTCCCGCCCCGCGAGACCGCCCGGCCTTCCAGAGGTCGGGCTCGGCCGGGCAGCACGGGAGTCTCCCGTCACCCCGGACCTCGCGGCCGCCTTTCACGGCGCTTGCTGGCGGGCGGTGGTGAAGACAGAGGAGGCTGACACAGCCTCTGGATGCCGAAGCGCCACCTGGCTCGTATCCCCGCTACCCACCGCCCCGGAGAGAGCCTCTGTCCTATCCCGGACCTGGCTCTTCGGCCCTGAGCTGGGGCTGTGTGCTAACCGTTTGAGCGTTGCCTCTGCACCAGCAGGAGGGGTGAAAAGCGAGACGGGGCCACTCCGCTTCCCCCGTGTCGCATCACTCCGGTTTGACACCGGCGCGGCCGCGGTGAGACCCGGGAGACCCTTCGGACACCCTATGCCCGATTCCCCTTTGGTTTGTTTCCTCTGGGCCGTGTTATGTGTTTTGCAGGTGGGCACGCCGCGGGAGGCTCCTTCGGGGAACCCGTGGTACGCTCAGGCAGGTTTCGGCGACTCGCTGGGCTCCAGCTCTGGGCTGAGCCGTCCCGGCAGCGGAGCCGCGGGCGGGCTGCTCCGCTGCCCTTGGCTGATGGTCTCTCTTGCAGGATGCAACAGCAGGATGATGTTTAATTACTTCGCTCTCTCGGGGAATTAGCTTGGCCATCGTTAGGGCAGAAAGTGAGAAGGGGAACTCCTCTGGAGTGGGGTACAGAGACAAGGATTGTATTTGCCGCTCCGAGAGTGCTCGCCCTGGCGCCGGTGTGGCAGCCGGGTGCTCGGGAGCTGAATCCGCTTTCCCAGCCGGGTAAGCGAGTCCGGCTCAGACGCTGGGAACCAGTAAGCAGCACCGAATGGAGTTCCTTGCCGTACCGGTCACCCTGGTTGCATTTACATGCCGCCCGCATGTAACACCGTTTTGCCTCTCCGGGGCTTGGCTGTCCCTCTTGCAGGTTAATTGTTTCTTGTTGGGGTGGGTTTTTAACTTTTGTTATTTTCTCCCTTTGCAGAATTCACCTTCCTCCAAATTTACATCACATTTTTGTGCAAATGTGTGTTGTAAGTCACCCTAAGTCCTAATTGTAGCCCACTCGAAAACCTCGGTTCCAGCCCAGAGCGTGGAGTGGGTGCAGCTAGGCTGAGCTCACCTGTGGAAAGGACAAAACCCTTTATAATGTAAGAAATTTTCCAAGCCTAGGGGTGGCGGGAATGGGCGGCGAATAGCCGTTTCAGGTTGGAATTGCACGTTTTCCCCCTCTCCTATTCTGTCTTGCTGCTAAGTCCACGTCTTCCGCCGGTGACACCACCGGGTTTCTTCCCCAGCAACCTATTTATCGTCGAGCTCCGTCTGCGAGGAAAAGGGGGCACGGGTAACCTGGACTGCCGGGATGGCCCTTTACCCTCGTCCCGCGGGAGGAGCCGCCTGCTGTGTTTCGGGGACAGCATCGAAGTGACCCCCACAGTTCATTGGGGGGCATAGCTGACGGGGTTGGAGACCCACCGGGACCGGCGGGGGTCGGGCGGGCGAACCCCGAAGGCGCCCCTCCCCTGTGCCCTCGTTTCACGTAAAAGCCCCGAACTTCTCTCCTCCCTTGGGCTGCTCCCGCCGTCTAACGGGCCGTGGGGCAGCCGGAACCGGTGCCTGTCTCTGCGTGTTTCCAGCCGGAGAGCAGGTCCAGCCAAGCGCCCATCGCATTAAAACTGCCTTTCCATATTCATATGCCCTATTTTTCACAAGTCGCTTCTATTAATGGAAGTGCACAAACGCCAGCCCTCAAAATCTGCAGATTTCAAAGGAACCCAAGTAAGGCGCTTTGCGCTGGCAGCGATAGGTGCTGGGCTAGACGGGACCCCCGGGGCGCCCCCGCCATGGCCGCGCCCTCCCCAGGAGCAGCCGCGCTCTGCCGGGGGCGCAGCCGCGGGCCCCTGTTGCGGCGGCTCCCGGCGGCCCCCTCGCTGCTTCGGGCCGTGCCGCGCGGGGTTGGCTCTCCCGGCCCGGGCACAGAAAAGTTGTCCAAGACTGTCTCGTTCCCTCGTCTCTGGGAGCCCATGTAGGGCGCTTTAATTGCCACATTTTCAAACCGAGGTAATGGTGGGACTGTCTTAGTAATTACCTTAATGAGATAACACCTTTCCTTCCCTGAACCTACTCATTATCACGCTTCTTTTTCAAATTCCAGCTACAAAGAGCTATACTTGTAAAAAAAAAAAAAAAAAGGAAAAAAAAGGGGGGGGGGTGAAGAGCTCTGAAATTTGTTGGAGGTCTCGTTCCCTTAAAACAAGCACCTTCCATGGATCTCAGCATATGAACAGAGAACTGTACCCAGTTCTGGGAAAGGTTGCCTAGAAGTAAACTAAACATCTGGGGTACCCCTTAATTATTCTTGGTAGGTGTCTTTAGTTTGACCTGTAGGGATGTGAGGGTGTCAAAGTGATGAATTTTAAGATGTTGGGCTGTGAAGACGTGCAGTGGCAAGACTGATGGGTTTAGGAAGGGAATGGTAACAAGGTTAGCTGCATGTGAAGTGTGAATTGAGATTTTTGCAAAGAGACTGTGATTGCAGATGGGCATAATGTTGTACCCTTGCATGAAATCTTGCTATTATTGTATAATGGTCAGACAGAGTGTGAAATGACTTATTACTTTACTTTTATTCTTTAATGAAGTTGGGTAGGGAAGGAGAACTACCAGGAAATTGATAGTGGTGGTGCACAGAAACTATATGACAGGTGCTGATACATTAAATATTTATTTAGGTTTTTGTCACAAACCCCCTCCCAATTTTATGCTATGTCAGAAAGCAAACAA